CTCACTTGCGAACTCAGTGTGCTCCTTGGCTTTTCTCCGGTCATTTCCGGGAAGGTTTCGGCTACTCGAATGGCCATTGGGTACTGGGCGATGAGCCGTGGTACGGCTCAAGGCAGGCGGTGAGCCGGAGCAGGCGGCATCGCTTTGCTGGACGGAAGTGCTCTGCAACAGCGGCACGCACACAGCACGCCCTGAACAGTTGCCAGGGAGCGCAGTCGCTGTGCAAGCTGCATGTCTTGCTTGAGTGACAGGATAATAGCTCGCGTTGCAGCTGGTAGTATCATGGAGCTCGGCGAGGTGTTCGAGAAGCTGCTGGGAGGGCCGGATGCACCGGATGTGGAGAGCGGTGAAGTGGCAGCGACTGGTCAGCGCCTGACGTGGGTCAGCCGGCTTCCAGGCAATTCGGTAAATTTCGCTGATATTGCTTCTTTTTATTATTTTTGCCTCAGTGAGTGGTCTCCGATTCGGTCACTTCTCTGTTGCACTGTTCGGTCACTTCTCTGTTGCACTGTTCTGAGCATTATCAGAAGGCATTTTCCAGATTCACTGCCACTGCTTATGGATGTCGTGCGGTGCGACGTTCGCAAAGCTGGAGGAGCTGGGCCAGCACTTCCTGGAGCACTGCGCCGCAGCCGCTTCTGGTAAGTTTCTCGGGCGATGGGCGCGTTGTTTCTTTTTTCTCCATGCTGCTGAGTTGTCCACCGTTGCTGTATGTTCGCGCTGCTGCTGACCGCTGTCCGTTTCAGTTGGTTGTCCGAGTGACGCGAAGCTGCTCTGCCCGGTTCTTCATTGCGAAAAAGTGCTCGACTCGACGGCGCATATGCTGCGCCATGTTTATGCGCATGTGTTTCACATGATGCGCCAGTACGATGGTCTCCGCACTATTCTCAGCACCAAGGAACTGCTGCATATGCCAAGGTTGGCGCATCTTTAACCTCGGCCTAGCATCCCCGGCATCCGTGACATCGCAGTGCCTTCACATCATCTCTCACTACTTTCCCCCAGTATCACTGGCCTGGTTGCCGCTGTCTGCTCATTCCCCACTCCTTTCTG